ATCAAGTGGAAGCAGCACCTCCACGGGACCAACAACCCGCAGCAAAGCAATGGCAGCCACTTCTTTAACACAGAAGCCAAGCACAGTGCGTGTCAACTCCACTAAGCCTCTGAATGCAAAGACTCAGCCGTTCATCACCCTTGAATCATTGAGATCCATGAAGATCAACCCCATGAGCCCTGTGGAAGAAATTGCTGGTATGGAAGACTTCTCTCCGAGAAGTATGTCACCGCATTTATCCCGATCCATTCCGGATTCCAACTCAAGCACGGGCTCACACTCAGCCTCATCCCGGTATCTCCAAGAGGTGCGACTTCACCAAGGCATGTTGATTCTCTGAATCCTTCACATTCAACTTACATGCAAGTCATGATGGCCGACACAGCATCGATAGAGGAACAACTGGGGACTATGGCCCGTGCTATTGAGAAACTCACCAAGACTGTGGAAGACAAAGACTTGCAGATTGCTTCATTAATGAATAAGCTTGAAGTACAAAAGCCCACCGAGTCAAGTCAAGGACCCATACACCCCCCAGGTTTCACGCCACAAGTCACCATGGCGAACAAGACTCACCATGCAACCACATCCGAACAGGGGGCAAACCAAACCAACTTTGCCCCCTCCATCGCTTCGTTGTCTGTCCAACAACTTCAAGATATGATTAGTAACACGATCAGGTCACAATATGGTGGGGCAACTTACAGTTCTCTCGTGTATTCGAAACCTTACACAAAGCGTATCGACAATATGAGAATGCCAGTCGGATACCAACCTCCCAAGTTACAACAGTTTGATGGAAAGGGAAATCCTAAGCAACACATCGCTCATTTTGTTGAAACTTGTAACAACGCTGGAACTGATGGTGATCTTTTGGTGAAACAATTCGTTCGTTCCCTTAAGGGAAATGCCTTTGATTGGTACACTGACTTAGAGGCCGAGTCGATAGATGGTTGGGACCAGATGGAACGTGAATTCTTAAATTGCTTTTATAGCACCCGTCATACCGTGAGTATGATAGAACTTACCAACACCAGGCAGTGGAAGGATGAACCTGTTATAGATTACATCAACAGGTGGCGTGCGCTTAGCCTGGACTGCAAGGACCGATTCTCAGAAATTTCTACTGTCGAAATGTGCATGCAAGGTATGCATTTGGGACTTCTCTATGTTCTTCAAGGCATTAAACCCCGTACCTTTGAAGAGTTGGCCACACGTGCCCATGACATGGAGATCAGCATTAATACTCATGGTGGAAACAATCCTTCTACCTTAGAGCAACGCAAGGATAAGAAAGAAATAAGGAAAGACGAGAAGCCGACAAAAAAAGGCAACAAAGAGACTATAACCATCACGGCGGTACCATTGAAGATCTCCACGAAGGAGAAGAACAAAGGAAGTGATAAGCAAAACAAATTCCAAGAGAAGGATAAGCTCTGGCAGGAGAAGCCGCGCTTAACACTCAAGGAGCTAGAGAAGAAAGAGTACCCATTCCCGGACTCCGATGCGCTAGGAATACTAGAATTTTTACTCGAAAAGAAAATGATCGAGCTCCCAGAGTGTAAACGGCTTGAAGAAATGGGGCGAGTGAATGACCCAAAATACTGCAAGTACCACCGTATTGTTAGCCATCCGATTGAGAAGTGCTTTATATTTAAGGAGTTAGTAATGACTTTGGCTAAACAAGGGAAAATTCTTTTGGAAGGCGATGAAGTGGCAGAGACAAACCATACCATCACCACATCCGAATGTCTCAGTCCAACTTATTCCAGACTTTCTACGAAAATGACCCCAGTCATGCAGCTGGAATGCCCTCAGATCATTCAGTTTGGTTCATTAGAGCCTGTGATTGTCCAAATACCTCAGACAGAATTGCCTGAACAAGTAAAAGAAGGATGGACTCTTGTGACGAGAAAGAAGCCACATAAGCAAAGGACCACCTTGGCGCAACAAACCCACTTCAGCAGGGGGCAGAGAAAGGAAAAGCTCCAACGTCACCCAATAAGAATGACTCAAGAAAAATAGGTGACTGTGGAAGGAGATCAACCAGATGAGTGCCCCAACAAGAGCCCTCGCAAGCCTGTCACATTAGAAGATTTCTTCCCCACTGGATATTTCAATAATGATCAAGTTCAAGCTGTTTACACAGTATCCATCGCTGAAGTTGATGAGTCGACTGAACAAACTGATGAAAAAATCCCAGTTCTAGAAGATCCAGGTAATTGCACTGGTATGGAAGATGATGAAGAGCGAATCCCTATAACGACTTGTACCTCATGTTGTGCGGCAATCACCTTCACCGATGAGGACTTGCGGTTAGGCTCCAAGCCACACAACTGTTCACTTTTCGTTTCCGGATACATCTGGGAACAAAAAGTTACACGTATCCTCATTGATGGAGGTTCTGCAGTGAACATCATGCTAAAATCCATGATGAAGAACCTCGGCATCACAATTGATGAATTGGCTCGTAGCCGCCTAGTCATCCAAGGCTTTAACCAAGGAGGACAGAGAGCAATTGGCATGATTATAGTCCATCTCACCATTGAAGAATTAAATGCTGAGACTATATTCCATGTTATCGATGCGAAGACCTCCTACAACTTATTGTTAGGGCGACCTTGGGTCCATGGAAATGGCATGGTTCCATCCACCTTGCATCAATGCTTCAAGTTTTATAGGAATGGCATAAAAACTGTATTTGCAGATGATAAACCATTTGCTGAGGCGGACTCGCATTTCGCAGATGCTAAATTTTACTCTGACTATAATACACCAATGGAGGTTCTCCCAACGGATATCCCTTCAATGGGCAAAGTAGAATCGAGAAAGGGGAAAAAAGTCGAACTCACTCCCATGGAATGCATTACGCATAAAAAAGTCGTGACTTCTACACAAGAGTTCGGATCATCTTCTAATGTCTCTAAGAACAAGTCTGTCTTCAAGTATGTGCCAAAATCTAAAAGGAAGGAAGGACAATCACCTTTTGTTGAGATTGTTGAGACGAAGGAAACAAAGATAAAGCCCATCCCTTCTTCAATGAGAGAAGATTCACAAGCACTCAGAGAAGACTCAGCAATTCCTATTGTGAAGATTGAGAAGTCCAAAATTGCTAAACCGCCACTAAAAGGGTTTATCTTTGGATCTCATGATTCAACAAAACAAAGTTCGCTTCCTCGTCAAAGGACAATAGAAGGATTCGATCCAAATGCATACAAGCTCCTGGCCAACGCAGGGTATGATTTTGAAAATCCTGCGAAACTTGGGCAACTCAGCCCCGAATTCACTGGCGAGAAAGTGCATGGCCTTAATGAGACACAAAAGAAGCTGTGAGATCAAGGACATAGGATCAGTCCACCTAAAACTGGTTTAGGTTTCACGCCAAGCGAGCCTATCCGAGTCCCCATTAGAAGAAGGGATAAGAAAGAAAGTACACAATACATTAGTGTTGAGGAAAATGAAGAGAATGAGGATCAACAACCTATTTCACGAACCTCAGTGTTTAATCGAATTGAAGCTCCAGTACCCCGCAATTCTATTTTTGAAAGGTTGAATGTAACAGGCCAGATGAATAGATCATCTCCTTACGACAACCATGTACCTCGTTTTTCTGTGTTCAACAGTATGCCAGTGCTGAGAATAAAGAAATGTCAAGTTCTCAATCACGAAGGTCTGTCTTTTCCCGGATTGAAGCCATTAATTCCATATCTAAAGACAAACAAAACACAGTAAAATATGAGAAAGTTCAACTCAAGACAAAAAAAGATGATGGCGTTCGAAGCCTAGTTCCGTCTCGAATGAAGCGCAAAGTGGAGCTTGAAGTGAATGCTGATGGAGTTTTAACGGTTAAAAGACAAATCATCATATGCACGGAGCCTTTAGAGCAAGAAGATGAAAAAGAAATGACTTATGCTACTTCTTACCATATCACGGTGGAGGAAGATGAATCAGAATCAGATTCTCATGAAGAATACTTCAAGGAAGCGCCTCCAACACTTGAAGACGGGGGGCAAGCTACCATTGACCAACTCAAGGAGATTAACTTAGGATCAGTCAAAGAACTTAAACCAGTCTTCATCAGTGCACTCTTAAGCCCTCTAGAGGAGAAATGTTATATTGAGTTATTATCCGAGTATAGAGATATCTTTGCTTGGACATACAAAGATATGCCAGGCCTCGAACCCAGGGTCGCAGTCCACAACTTAGCAGTTAAGCACGGTGCACGTCCAATTAAGCAATCCCAACGCTTTTTCAGGTCAGAGCTTATCCCAAAGATTGAGGAAGAAGTCAATAAACTCATTGATGCAGGCTTCATTCGAGAGGTTAAATACCCGACGTGGATTTCAAGTATTGTCCCAGTCAAGAAAAATGGGCAAATACGAGTTTGTGTAGACTTTCGTGACTTGAATTCTACATGTCCAAAAGACGACTTCCCTCTACCTGTCGCCGAACTCACGGTAGACGCAACAATGGGACATGAGGCTCTTTCTTTTATGGATTGTTTCTCCGGCTATAACCAGATAAGAATGTCTCCTAAAGACGAAGAGTTAACTGCTTTCCGTACTCCAAAGGGGATATATTGCTATAAGGTGACGCCATTCGGACTTAAGAATGCTGGTGCTACCTATCAACGGGCCATGCAGAAGATCTTTGATGATATGTTGCATAAAAATGTAGAATGCTATGTGGATGACTTAGTCGTCAAAAGCAAAGAAAGAAGAACTCACCTTCAAAATCTTCGCACAGTTTTCAATCGATTAAGGAAGTTCCAACTTAAAATCAACCTTCTCAAATGCGCATTTGGCGTCACATCAGGAAAGTTCCTTGGGTACATTGTCCGACACCGCGGCATCGAAGTTGACCCATCCAAGATTGAGGCCATTCAGAAAATGCCATCGCCCAAAAACCTGTTTGAACTGTGAAGCCTCCAAGGACAACTCGCTTTCATTCGTCGGTTCATTTCGAATTTGGCCCGGCGGTGCCAGCCATTTAGCTGACTTATGAAGAAAGATGTCCCTTTTACATGGGACCAAGCTTGTCAGAATGCTTTAGACAACATCAAGAAATACCTGCTTAATGCCCCGGTGTTAGGAGCTCCAACACCTGGAAAACCGCTTGTACTATACATTGCGGCTCAAGAGGAATCGCTCGGGGCTCTCCTCGCACAAAATAATGAAGAGAATAAGGAAAAGGCTTTATACTATTTAAGTCGGAGGCTGACTGCAACAGAGCTTAAATATCCTTCAATTGAGAAGACTTGTCTCGCGCTAGTCTTTGCTTCCCAGAAATTGAGACACTATTTTTTGGCTCACACCGTACACGTAATTGCAAAAGCCGACCCCCTCAAGTATGTCATGTCAAGACCTGTTCTCTCTGGGCGACTAGCAAGATGGTCGATCTTGTTCAACGAATTCGAAATCTTGTACGTCTCGTGAAAAGCAGTCAAAGGACAAGCCCTTGCCGATTTCTTAGCTGATCATCCAATATCAGCTGATTGGGAGATTTTTGAAGACTTTCCTGACGAGGAAGTGTTCTTTGTTGATGTCCTTCTGCCATGGATGATGTTCTTTGATGATGCAGCACGGTCCGAAGGAGCAGGAGCAGGCGTGGTGTTTATTTCTCCACAAAGACAAATTTTGCCATATACTTTTTCGTTTCCCGAAAAATGCTCAAATAATATGGCTGAGTATCAAGCCTTGATAATTGGTCTCCAAATGGCAAATGAAATGAAGATTTCAAACATTGAAGTTTATGGTGACTCCAAGTTAGTAATCAACCAACTTCTTGAGGAATATGAAGTTAAGAAAGATAACTTGATTCCATGCTTTTAGTACGCTTCCAATCTACTTAGTAGATTGGACAACGTTGTCTTAGAACATGTCCCAAGGGAAGAAAATCGCTTAGCGGATGCTTTGGCTAACTTAGCCACAGCAATAGCATTGGGAGAAGCTGAGGCAATTACCGTCCCAGTATGCCAACAGTGGGTATTGCCGCAGTTGCTCGAGGGCCAGTTGGAAGAAACAAATGAAATCTCTATTCGGGTCATGGAAACTGAAGACTGGAGATGACCCATCATAGACTACTTGGAACACGGGAAGCTTCCTGTAGATCCTCGACATAGAACTGAGGTACGCTAAAGAGCACCTCGATTTATCTTTTACAAAGATACATTATTTCGGCGCTCATATGAAGGTCTTTTTCTTCGTTGCCTCGGAGAAGATGAAACAACTCAAGCAATGGTGGAAGCACACTCGGGAGTCTGCGGGGCTCATCAATCAGGTCCTAAGCTCCACTTCCGAGTAAAAAGAATGGGATACTACTGGCCAACTATGGTTAAAGACTGCATGGATTATGCGAAAAGGTGTCAGGCTTGTCAATTCCATGCCAATTTCATCCACCAACCACCTGAACTCTTACATCCTACAGTTGCGTCTTGGCCATTTGATGCATGGGGACTAGATGTGGTAGGACCTTTCTTGAAATCTTCCAAGGGTCATGTATATATCCTTGCTGCGACAGATTACTTCTCGAAATGGGCCGAGGCAATCCCAATCAAGCAACAAAATAAAGAAACTGTGGTGGACTTCATTAAAACCAATATCATCTTTCGATATGGTGTGCCCCGTCATATCATCACTGATAATGGGTTACCTTTCAAAAATAAGTTGATGAGTGACTTATGTGAAAAGTTTGGTTTCAAACAGCACAAGTCTTCTATGTACAACGCGCTAGCAAATGGACTAGCGGAAGCTTTCAACAAGACTCTTTGCAATCTGTTGAAGAAAGTAGTCTCCAAGTCTAAAAAGGACTGGCATGAAAGAATTGGGGAAGCTCTTTGGGCATACCGAATAACATATCGTACCCCCACGCAAGCAACGCCTTATTCGCTTGTATATGGTGTTGAAGCGGTTCTACCACTCGAACAACAAATCCCTTCATTAAGGATTGCTATCCAGGAGGGACTAACAAATGAAGAAAATGCACAACTTCGTCTTCAAGAGTTGGAGGCATTGGATGAAAGAAGGCTTGGCTCAGCAACGATTAGAGTACTATAAAGCTCGGCTCTCAAGTGCCTTCAACAAGAGGGTTCGTCCTCGATCTTTTCAAGTTGGTGACCTAGTACTCGCTGTACGAAGACCCATTATCATGCCCCGTCGAATGGGTAAGAAATTCAACTCTAAATGGGATGGACCATATGTGGTGCAAGAAGTCTACACCAATGGCGCCTACAAGATCATCGATGAAGATAGTGTAAGAGTTGGTCCAATCAACGCCAAGTTCCTAAAGCGATCTTATCCATGAGAAGGGTATATACTCCTGGCCCGCATGAGCTAAAACTGTGTACGGCCAAAAAAAAAAAAAAAAAAAGAAGATTGTTTTCTACGAACTATGTCATGGACTTGATCCCTTTAGGGGTATGTAGGCAGCTTGGAGGTTTGTTCCAAGTTCAGTCATCCGGAAAGAAAAAAAAAAAAATAAAAAAAATAAATAAATTCTACGCATTACTCCTAGCCCGCAAGAGTTTAAAATGTGAATGGCGGAATAAAACGAAAAAAACAAAAAAAAAAGAAAAAAAACTCTTTGATGCTTTTATTAATCAAAATGAACATCTATATAAAGAATAAAAATAAAAAATAAAAAATAAAAAAAAGTTTTGACCCCCATTTAAGGTAGGTACGGCGGAATAAAACGAAAAAAAAAGAAAAGAAAAAAAAACTCTTTGATGCTTTTATTAATCAAAATGAACATCTATATATATAAAAAAAAAAAAAAAAAAAGTTTTGACCCCCATTTAGGGTAGGTAGGAAACTATTCGAGTAAAATCTCTACCACGCTCTTAGATATGAGTCTAAACTGTCTTCAAATTAAAAGCCGGTCCATGTCAAACTCAAGCTTGAACTACATCAAGGCTTTCCCAAATCAAGAAAGGTAGAGCTCTATTTTCGAGACAGATATGCACAAGCACACTTGCATAACCCGTTAACTTTATGTCAAGTTGCTACTTCGAGAGTGGTGTCTGGTGTCTGGTGTATAAGTGAGCTTGTACACTGAGTCAGGATCTTCTGGTGGAGCTTCGACTTGAAATCATCATCAAAATTGATAACGGTTAACGATGCTGGTGGTATGACCTCTTTGAGTTTGTTCTTTCTCTCTCCGATCTGTTGCTAATGAAGATTGCATCTACATCTATCGTTGCTCTCCGACACAGTCGGTGCTGGTGGCATGACCTCTTGGAGTTAGTTCTCGCTCTATTAATGGCTAGATGATCCATGGCTGACGAAGACACCCTGGCGGCGGGTGTTGACGACGTTGTCTAAGCTGTTGGTAAAGCCTCTCTGCATCTATATATGTTGCTCTCTGGGTTGATTCGTGGTTGCTGACAACACAGTCTCTGCTGGTGGCATGACCTCTCAGAGTCTGTTCTCGCTCTATCAGTGGCTGCTGGCTGATCTATGGCTGATGAAGACGCTCTTGCGGCTGGTGTTGACAACATTGTCTGAGTTGGTAATGAAACCTCTCTACATCTGCCCTTGTCGTTGTTCTTCAAGTTGATTCGTGGCTGCTGACAACATTATCTCTGGTTGTGGTATAAACTCTCGGAGTCTGTTCTCGCTCTACTGTTCTCGCTCTATCAGTGGGCTGATCTATGGCGGATGAAGACGCTCTTGCGGCGGGTGTTGACAACATTGTCTGAGCTGGTAATGAAACCTCTCTGCATCTGCCTTTGTTGTTGTTCTTCAAGTTGATTTATAGCTGCTGACATCACTATCTCTGCTTGTGGTATGAACTCTCGGAGCCTGTTCTCGCTCTATCAATGGCTTCTGGTTGATCTATGGCTGACGAAGACGCTCTAGTGGTGGGTGTTGACAGCTTTGTCTGAGCTAGTGGTAAAACCTCTCTCTACATCTGTCGTTGCTCTCTCTGTTGATTTGAGGCTGCTGACGATGCTATCTATGCTGGTCATACAACCTTTCAGAGTCTGTTGTTGGTCTCTCAATGGCTTGCGGGTTAATTTGCGGCTGATACCGACGCTTCTGTGCTGGTTGTATAACTTCTCGGAGTACAATGTTTGTCTCTCAATGGCTTGCTGGCTGATTCATGGCCGGTGACAACGTTCTTGTTGCGGTGATTAATGACATTGTCTGTGATGATGGCAAAACCTCTCCGCATCTATCGTTGCTCTTTAAATTGCCTGGGGGTTGTTCATGGCTGATGACGGCGCTGTCAATCTGTGCTGGTCATACAATCTCTCGGAGTCAATTGCTGGTCTCTCAATGGCTCGAACAATTGGTGACCGACATTCTTGTTACGGTAATTGGCAAATGCGATAGTGGCAAAACTTTTCCACGTTTGTAGTTTGTTCTCTAACTGGCCTGCATGTTGATTTGTCGTTCTTTAAATGACCTCTGGGTTGATTCGTGGCTTCTGACGACGCTGTCTGTGATGCTCGGAGTCTGCTGTTGGTCTCTAAATGGCTTGTTAATTGATTGGTGGTTGATGACGATGTTGTTGCTGTGATGATTCTCACCACAACATTTTTGTTAGCTTCAAAGAACTGTTTCGAACTCTCAATTTGACCGGACTCCTCGCCTCACATGGAATGAATGAAACATTTATGATAGAGAAGGAATTGAAGTATAAGGGCATTTAATTAATGGTCACATGGATTCAACAAACTGAAAAAAAAAAAAAAAAGAGAAAAAAGTGTACAATATTCTTTTAAGAGAGAAAGCTCACTATAATTGGCACCAAAAGAAGATAATGGGCTCAAGCCACCTAACCACCCTTAGCAAAGAGTTTGCAGCCATCTAATCCCAGCCAATGTAAATGGTGCTAAAGGACTGGAACTCACGTCTCTCCAAACTCTTACAAGCAACTTCATCTGGGTTCTTGATTTTGAAGCTTAAGGCGTGAATAGAAAATTAATCAATTCACATAAACCACCACTGGGAAGGAATATAAAAAAAAAAAAAATTCAAGATAAGTAGGTGAAGTTCCAAGACTTGACGCACAGTGAAGTTAGTAAAAGGAGCATTGATTTATATGACAGTGCAAATTCCTTTTGGCTCCAGCCAAATAAAAATCACACATCCATCTTGAGAATCAAAGAAGATTAGTTTGGTTATGTTAGTATGCCATTCATGATCAATACTGCGTATACATGGATTGTAAAGCAAATTCATTTTGTAAAAAATTTGCACACGGAATATAAATAAGAGGAATCATACCAGAATTTGGAGGCCAGCGACACGAATTGCAAAAATTGATCTAGTATACTTCTTCAGCGATTTTGCCTCAGCGATTTTGCCTCTTATGATGACTCTAGAACACTGTCGTCGAATCAGTCATCGGCAGCAACCCATGGATTAACTATCTGCACTTGATTCATATTGGATATGATCATCAGATGGCCACACATCTGCTCTTTCAACTGTTGGCGACCATGCAACTGCACTTTGAACAAAATTGAATTCAAACAAAATTGAAAAAAAAAAAAAAAAAATGGAGAGAAATAGAGATGGTGTTAGCAAACAAGAACCCAAAGATTGGAATTCCCAATATACACATATTGAGTGAGTCAGGAATAAAGAAAGGAAAAATGCTGAAGTGTTGTATACAACCCATCTGTTAAAAAAAAAAATCCACTAATAATTGGGGCCATAATTCTACTCCCTTGTTTGGATGAGGTTGCGACATCTATTTTCTCATGTGCATTCGAAAAGATGAACAGACTACTCTTGAATAATGGTGATGATGAAGAAACAAAATTGGACATGCAACACCGCATGACAGTGGTAAAATGGGGATAGTCGACACAATGAATGAAGAAGAGTCCAGTTCTTGAGATGGCCAAAGCATCAACATGCCCAGTGGTGTGTTTTTTTCACAAGGCAGATTTTTGGGTTAGTTGTTTAAAAAAAAAAAAATTGGAGATGCTCGAAATGGGAGTGTTGGCTGGGTCAAAAAATTTGCAGAGGCCATTCAGTGTGCATGTATTATCTTTAAATATGTATGTATTATCATTAAAATAATTGTGTACATTGCAAAAAAAAAAAAAAAAGGTGAA